TCTTTTCACTATGTCTGTATCTTTGGGGTAAATACCCAGTCTTGCAGTTGCAGGGTTATAGGGTAGCTCTATTTTTAATTTCTTAAGGTATCTCCACATCGTTTTCCAAAGTGGTTGCACCAACTTGCATTCCCACCAACAGTGTAATAGGGTTCCCCTTTCTCCACATATTCTCCAACACATGTTGTTTACTGTCTTGTTGATTTTGGCCATTCTAACTGGTGTAAGGTGGTATCTCTGTGTGGTTTTGATTTGAATCTCCCTGATGGCTAGTGATGATGAGCATTTTTTCATGTGTCTGATAGCCACTTGTATGTCTTCATTGGAGAAGTGTCTGTTCATGTCTTCTGCCCATTTTTTGACATGATTATCTGTTTTGTGTGTGCTGAGTTTGAGGAGTTTTTTATAGATCCCTTTGTCCATAGTGTCATTTGTGAATATCTTCTCCCATTTCGTGGGTTGTCTCTTTGTTTTGTTGACTGTTTCCTTTGCTGTGCAGAAGCTTTCGATCTTGATGAAGTCCCAGAAGTTCATTTTCGCTTTTGTTTCCTTTGCCTTTGGAGACATATCTTGAAAGAAGTTGGTGTGGCTGATGTTGAAGAGGTTACTGCCTTTGTTCTCCTCAAGGATTTTGATAGATTTCTGCCTCACGTTGAGGCCTTTTATCCATTTCGAGTTTACCTTTGCGTATGGTGCAAGAGAATGGTCGAGTTTCATTCTTCTATATATAGCTGTCCAATTTTCCCAATACCACTTATTGAAGAGACTATCTTTTTTCCACTGTTTATTTTTTCCTGCTTTGTCGGAGATTAGTTGACCATAGAATTGTGGGTCCATATCTGGGCCCTCTATTCTGTTCCACTGGTCTATGTGTCTGTTTTTGTGCCAGTATCATACTGTCTTGGTGATCACAGCTTTGTAGTAAAGCTTGAAATCAGGCAACATGATGCCCCCAGTTTTGTTTTTCCTTTTCAGCATTTCCTTAGCAATTCGGGATCTCTTCTGTTTCCATACCAATTCTAGGATTGTTTGTTCCAGCTCTTTGAAAAATGCCGGTGGAATTTTGTTGGGGATGGCATTGAAAGTATAGATTGCTTTAGGGAGTATAGACATTTTAACAATGTTTATTCTTCCGACCCATGAGCATGGAATGGTCTTCCATCTTTTTGTGTCTTCTTCGATTTCTTTCATGAGTGTTCTGTAGTTCCTCGAGTACAGATCCTTTACCTATTTGGTTAGGTTTATTCCTAGGTATCTTATGGTTCTTTGTGCTATAGTAAACAGAATCGATTCTCCAATTTCCTTTTCTGTATTTTCATTGTTCGTGTATAGGAAAGCAGGTGATTTCTGTACATTGACTTCGTATCCTGCCACTTTACTGAATTGCTGTATGAGTTCTAGTAGTTTGGGGGTGGAGTCTTTTGGGTTTACCCTATAAATTATCATGTCATCTGCGAAGAGAGAGTTTGAGTTCTTCATTGCCAATTTGAATACCTTTTATTTCTCTTTGTTGTCTGGTTGCTGTTGCTAGGACTTCTAGTACTATGTTGAACAAGAGTGGTGAGAGTGGGCATCCTTCCCGTGTTCCTGATCTCAGTGGGAAGGTTGTCAGCTTTTCCCCTTGAGGATGATACTCGCTGTGGCTTCTTCATAGATAGATTTTATGAAGTTGAGAAATGTTCCCTCTATCCCTGTACTTTGAAGCGTTTTAATCAGGAACAGATGCTGGATTTTGTCAAATGCTTTTTCTGCATCAATTGAGAGGACCATGTGGTTCTTTCTTCTCTTACTGATTTGTTCTATCACACTGATTGATTTGCACATGTTGAACCACCCCTGCATCCCAGGGATAAATCCTACCTGGTCACGGTGGATAAGCTTTTTAATGTGCTGTTGGATCCTATTAGATAGGATCTTGGCATCCATATTCGTCAGGGATATTGGTCTGAAATTCTCTGTTTTGGTGGGGTCTTTGCCTGGTGTGGGGAATCAGGGTAATGCAGGCTTCATAGAAAGTGTCTGGAAGTTTTCCTTCTGTTTCGGTTTTTTGAAACAGTTTCAGGAAAATAAGTATTGTTTCTTCTTTGAATGTTTGGTAGAATTCCCCTGGGAATCCATCAGGTCTTGGACTCTTGTTTTTTGGGAGGTTTTTGATCACTGCTTCAATCTTGTTACCAGATATTGGTCTATTCAGGTTGTCAATTTCTTCCTGATTCAGTTTTGGAAATTTATACGTTTCCAGGAATGCATCCATTTCATCTAGGTTGCTTGACTTATTGGCATATAACTATTGAGAATAATTTCTGATGATAGTTCCTGTTTCCTTAGTGTTAGTCTTGATCTCTCCCTTTTCCATTAATAATTTTATTAATTTGAGTCCTCTCTCTTTTCTTTTGGATTACTTTTGCCATTGGTTTATCAATCTTATTGATTCTTTCAAACAACCAGCTTCTAGTTTTGTTGACATGTTCTTCTGTATCTCTAGTTTCTATCTCATTGATCTCTGCTCTAATCTTGATTATTTCTCTTCTAGTGTGTGGGGTTAGCTTAACTTGTTGATTTTCCAGTTCTTTAAGGTGTAAAGACAGCTGGTGTATTCTGGATTTTTCAGTTTTTTTTGAGTGAGGCTTGGATAATGATGTATTTCTCCCTTAGGACCACCTTTGTCAGATCCCATAGGCTTTGGACCAATCACACATATTCTTCATATGGTTTCTCTTTGTCTGAATTGACTGCTTTCAAACTATCATTTTCATGTGCCAGATAGAGTTCTGTTTGGCTTCTGGATGGTGCCCTGTGGGAAGACGACATCCACCATTAGTCCCAGTTTCTGGAGGCAGCAGAATGCCCCAAATACTCCTTGGTCAGAGCTCATTGGAATGCCTTGCTCTTTTTGGATCATCTGTTTTTATGCTGATGAGCTGGTACCTGACCGTTTTTTAAATTTCTCCCAATTTTGGCATTCATTTTCAAAGAAAAAATTTGGAAATGACAGTGACTCTCCATAGGTGCTCACCTCTCCTCCCTCACCCCATCAGTGGGGTGCATTAGCTGCCTCGGCTCAGCTTTGCATCACTCAGTTCCGTGGGAAAGAAAAAGATGACTATGACCTTGTCTCGCCCCTGAAGGGGAAACGATGTATGTGTGGGTGTGTGCGCGTACGCGTGCGCGGGTACATGCCCACGTGCATATGTGTGGGCGTGCATGTGTACCCCTCTCCGCACACACAGAATACAATTGAAAGTTAAAAATGCAGTACATTAGAAACACAGAAGTTTGAGTAAGTATACAGACCAGCTCTTGGATGACTACAGTGGGCCCCTTCCTGGCCTTTCTGCTAGGGAAGTGAGTGGGAAAATAAGTCGGCAGATGAGAAGAGTACCCCTTACATAAAAGTTGGACAACCACTGCTCTAATGCTTCCCCTCCAGAACTGCCTCGGACTAGACTCCACCGTCTCACGTCATCTGTTCCAAAAGATTCCCGGCTTGTCCCTGACGCCACACAGCTAGCAGCCTTTCGGGAAGAACCCGTGACCCTCCCTGGCTTAGCATCCCTCGGTTGTTGGATAGAACCCACAGCCCTCTGTGTACCTTTCAGGCTTCAGGACCTGCCCCTCAGCCCTGTCCCTCACCGGCTGCCATGTGCACCCCGCCAGCCACACCACACTCTAGCTTCACGATTCTCAGTTGGAGACAGATCTGGCTGAACTCAGCCACACATTCTGAGAATGAACTGACGTATTATTTATGGAGTCTAAGAACTGGAGTAAAAAGCACTTTGTAAATCAGCTTTAGAGTTTTCAGAGTCATCATTTATACAAAGATACATAAAATGTGTTGGTCACTCAGCATTCACCGAAGAGTTACATTGTTCTTTTGTGTCCCCACTGCCGCAAGACCATTCAGAGTCCTGTCAGCTTTCTCTGGGAAGGCTTTCCAGGGAGGGCATGGATGTTAGTGGTCGGTGGCTGTGGAGCAAATGGCCCTAGAACTGAGGAGTTTAAAACCACGGACTTTATCTTACATGGTTTTCCTGGGTCAGGAGTCCAGGAAGGGCTTAGCCGGGTGGTTCGGGATCAGGCTTGGTCATGAGGTTACAGTCATCCCATGCTTGACTGAGATGATCCGCCGCCCAGCTCACTCTCATGGTTGTCAGGAGGCCTTGGTTCCCTGCCACGTGCTTTCTGAGCGTGCTTACACCATGGCGCTCCCCTTCCCCAGAGGAAGCGATCTGAGAGAGATTGAGACCAAGCTGGACGCAGAGGTCTTTTCTACCTAATTTCAGAGGCAGACATGCCATCCCTTCACCATTCTGCTGATCACAGAGACCAGCCCTGGGACTGTAGGAGGGGTCAGAGCAAGGGTGGGAGCCAAAGGAGCTGGAAGGCCCTGGGGCCCGTGGAGGCTGGCTGCCGCACCTGTTCCCAGAGGGGCTCGGAAGGAAGGAGAGGGATGAAGTTGTTAGGGAATCTGCAGTTCAAAGGGCATAGTCCTGCTCACTTGCTTTTCTTCTAAACAGGACCCCTTTCCTTTTACCATTCAGTTCTCTCCACCAGCCGTCGCAGTGCAGACTGAAACACACAGGCATTTGCCTGCAGCGGTTACCTCCTCCAGACAGGGAAGCTCCTGCAACTCAGAACCACACACAAAAAGAGGCCAGTGTTACTAACAGGGCTCCCAGGCTTGCTGTCTCATTTCTTTTAAACCTGAGGCATGCGGGTGCTGCTTATTTCCTGGGTGTATATAAATACAAAGCTTGGTTATTACTGGAACATTCTAGAAGAGTGAAAATTGCCAGGAACCTGGGTTGCTTGGGGAACTGAATTTTCTGGTTGCTGCTGTTTCCGAGGGAGGTCCCCCAGATCTGTTTGCCAGCGAGTCCCCTGTAGACTGAGAGGTCGTCTCCCACCTTCCAAAGCTTAGTTGGTGAGTGACTGGGGAGTGGGACCCCGGGGCCCTTCGCTTATTAACAGGACTTGGGTGTCTTTGTCATCTTCAGGCAGGTTCCAGCAGTGGCCCAGAGCACAGAGTGTGCGTCATCGACGAAATCGGGAAGATGGAGCTCTTCAGTCAGCCTTTCATCCAGGCTGTTCGTCAGACACTGGCCACCCCAGGGACTGTTGTCCTGGGCACGATCCCAATACCGAAGGGAAAACCGCTGGCCCTCGTGGAAGAAATCAGAAACAGAAACGACGTTCAAGTGTTCAGTGTGAGTACAGCTGGTCCCCTGTGCCTATAAAAACGGAGCGGGTGACCTCAGACATGGCTTTGAAATGTACCTTTGCTTTGATTTACCATTCTCCCCCCTCGGAGGCTAGATCCAGGTGAGTCTGATTTTCTAGGGATTTATAGAACATACATTTTGCCTGTCCTCAATGACAAAACCCACTTCCCTGTGGCCCCAGTGTGAAGCACAGCCTCCAGCTGCCGGAGAGCAGCACCGCGCAGTAGAATGGCCGGCGAGGGTGGAAATGCCCCGTCCACACTGGGCGGTAGCCATCAGCCACCTGTGACCCCTTATGCTTAAATGAAAATGAAAAACACATTTCTTCAGTCACTCTGCCTGCGTGGACAGGGCGAGTGCAGAGCGCGTCAGGCCAGGTGACGGAGGCAGAGCAGCTGCCCAGGCCTCACCCGCAGGTCCAGGGGGCGCACGGAGCTGTAGGCCCGCCCTGACCTCACGAGTGGGGCCCCAGGCCTGGGCCCAGTGGTGTGCTTTCACAAGCCCTCGTGCGGTTGCCGGGTGCCCATCGGGGCGGGTGTGTGTGGTAGAGCACACGTGAGTGAGGGCAGGGTCCTTCCTCCCAGCCGGTGGCCGTGTCCCGAGCCGGCGCCTGGGCCTCTGATAGCGCTGCTGACACTTGGTCCCCGTACATGATGTCCTCTCCCCTTTGTCTCTCCGGGTCCTTCTTAGCTCGTTGTTTTGTCCTGCGCCCCTTCGTCTGTGTCAGGGAGAGAGCCACGTTCCCGGCTGAGCCCGGCCTGTCGCTGCACCCCGCTGCCAGTGTAACGGCTCATAGGCCCACAAGCACCTTGCGAGAGGTCGGGCTGGCTGGGCACCTCCACCTGGACACGGAGTGAGCTCCAGCCGCCCGGTACCACGAGCACCTTACGTCACTGGCTAAAATGCCACCACTGTGGCTCGCCCGCCCTGTGGGACGTCCACGTGTCATCACCAGCATATCCTGGGGTGCTCTTGCAGCAGTAAACCATGTTCGGGTTCGAGCAGCCGGACTTGGGAAACTTCGTGCCTGCCTCCCTTCGTTTACTCAGTAGGAAGTGAGCAGCACCATGTGCTAAGTGGTGGCGCCGGCAGGGAGTGACCAGGTCGGTGCCCGCCGGCGCGCGGTCTAGCAGAGGCTAAAGTGGCCGCAGCACGTATCGACAAGGCAAAGACAACAACCGCTGGGGTGATGTGGCCCTTGGGCTGGAGGCCTCTGGGAAGGGAGGTGCTGACCCCGGAGGGAGCTGCCCAAGGTGCTGAGAACCCTGCAAAGTCACATGCTCAGTGACGTCTCCAAAGTCTGGGGGGCCCTTATCTTCAGAGTTTCGTGTTGCTCTCGCCATCTCTTACTTTACGTGGCCTCCAGGTTAGAGTTTTTGGTTGTGATTCTAGAGTTTCTGTGGAAGTAGAGTGAGAGAGGAGGAAAGACCATTCATCTTCGGGCCAGGCGGCTTCCAGCTTGGAAGGTGGGGCGTTGCTGCCCTTTAATTCCAGAGACTGGCGGTCCCTGCAAACCAGTGTCATCTCCAAGTCCTAGATGGGATTGAGGGGCTGCGCTGCTATATCCAGGAAAAAACGGTGTAATCTCAAGATAACAGCACATTTTCTCCTAGGACTGGAAATTATTCTCCAGGCAAGGTAATCATTGCTCCTAATGATGTGTAAATAAAGTGACTAGCTTTGGGTTAATTACATAAGAGATAGGGGCTCACACGCCCCATTGTTCTTATCTGTCTTGTGTTCCTTTCAGGCTGGTGTGGGCTTTCTCTTCCCCTTTTACAAATGAAGAATGTCATTCTCCTTATCGCAAGTCCAGGGGTGGGATTAGATATTTCCTGGTCCTGTCCCTTTCTCATATGCAGGGAAGTTCTCTGAACCCTGTCTGAGAGCAGCCGGTGCACCCAGCACTTCGTCCAAGACACCACAGAAGCATGTTCCCTTCCCTCGAGAGACATAGGTGATGTGACATCAACATCCGGAAGCAGAGAAGGGAGAGAACTCTGTGGGGAGAGGTGGCCCGGGGGATATGGTTCCTGGGTGGGTTTCGAAGGAGGAAGTGGAGAAAAGAAGGAAGAACATTGCGGGTGAGGAAGTAAGTTCTGTAGCCTGGGGAGGACCACCTCCCCGTGCTGACAACCGAGCATGTTAGGACATGGTCGTGGGACTGAACTCAAGAGGGAAAGGATTCCACTGAGTTACTCCTGTTACCTAGATTTAGTGATAGCATCGGTAAACAGCACTCCTTTTCAGAAAAACCCCTCTGAATGCTTCCTGTTCCACATAAGGTGGAATAGATACACTTTCCCAATCCCTCCTCTCAAGTGGAGCTGAAAACCTTGGACATTACGTATAAAGCAAACATCAGGAGACCTGGAGGGTGGAAAGAAGAAGGCACACTGGCTGGGAAGTGCAGCCAGAGGACAGCACAGCAGACACAACTGAACATTGCCTGTCCTACCAGGCACCAGGACAAGCAACTGGAACAGAACAAACATCAGCACGTGCCGACAGCAAGGAGACGGAGACGTTGGAATTACAGGGTGGGGATCCTGAAACAGCCGTGAGGAAAGTGCTTCAGTGATCAGTTACAAACATGCTGGAAACAAGTGAAAATAGAAAGTCTCAGTTTTAGCAAAGCTATAGAAGACGTAAAAATCAAAGAAAAACTTTAGAATTGTAACATACAGTGACTGAATGAGAAAGTCTGTGGAAGGAGTCCTCAGGAGAATGGAGGCGGACAAAGGGAATATTTGGTAAAGTTGAAGGTAGGACAATAGAAACTGCCTGACAAAGAGCAGACTTTGGGGGAAACCCCCCCCCCAAAAAAAGCCTCAGGGACTTGTGGTACTATAATAAAAGATCTAACATTCATGTCATTGCAGGATGGTCTTGGTAATTTAGGAGCTTCTATTATCATGGTGCGGGTATGGGTATTGACAGTCCCCTTCCTGAAAATGTTTCTCTTTCAGAAGTTTGGTTAATTTTGTTTCTAATGTCTCGTAGAGTTTACCAGTCTCTAAGTGGGGCCACCGAAAAATGTTTTCAGTTTATTTCACATTTGCTTGTCTGAGCATAATTATGTGAATGCTGTAGCGACAAGACAGAAAGCCCGTCACGGATCAAGATGACTAGAAAGAGCTGTGTGCACTGTTTCCCTGGTTCTGTAGCAACATGAAGAAAATACCCCTGCTGGCCCCCTCCTACCACGAGCACGCACAGACGTGTGAAAACGTGCACGTGCATATACACGCACGAGTTCTGTTGTTATAGTGGCATTTAGAAAGCTTGTCTCATTTGATTTCCTTTGAAATATCTGCTTGCTGGAAATGCTGGCAAACGTTATCTGCTGAGGGCCCAGAAGGGACAGCTGGAGCCTGGAGCCTTGACTTAGATGCCACTGTGGGCACCTGGACTGAGGTGCTGTGCTTAGTCCAGTAGATCACCGGGGCACATAGACCTCACAGTACCTGCTGAGGTAGATCTGCAATCTGTATTTTATCAATGAGAGGCTGCACAGCATGTCCAGGGTCGTCGGCTAGGAGGTGGCTCAGCTGGGACTCAGACTTCTGTCTGTCTGTCTACACAGTCTACGCTCTGGCACAACCCTTTTGGTGATAGGGATGATTCAGATGATTTTGCTAAAAATATCTCAGATTGCTAGAAATTATTTGGATTTTCTACTTTATAAAATTTTACTACGACTAAAATCTCTTCCACTGTGAATTCAGAGCCCTTTATACTTCTTTTTTTCCCATAAAGCAGTTTTTATACTTTTACTTTTTATTTGTGGATTGCAAGATCACAAGAGTAACAGGAACTAGGTCCTGATTTCCTTCCAGTTTGGGCATTCGTAGACCTCTGCTTGCTCATTCCTGCCATGGGTATTTTCATCAAGCTAGGCATAAAGCATTTTTATTTCACCAGGAATTCGATGCTGTCCTCGGGGTCTGTGGACTTCTGTAGATAACAGGAGTGAGGGAGGGTCTGTTAAGCTCTGCTTCGAAAGCCAGCAGGGTGTTTGTGGACACTGACAAGCAAGCGAATCCAAAATGCATGTGGACATGCAGAGGACCCCACTGAAACAGTCTTGGAAAAGAACACTGTTGGGAGACTCGTGCTTCTGACTTTAGAACTTTCCACAGAGCTACAGCGATCGTGATAGTATAGGACTGGCCGAAGGCTAGACACACAGATGCGTGAAAGTCCGGAAATAAATCCTTACATCTAAGGTCAGTTCATTTTTGGCAAGTGGGCCAGGACAACTTAATGAGGAAAGAATTACTTTTAATAAATGGTGCTGGGAGACTGGATATCCACATGCAAAGGAGCGAAGTTGGTTCCTAACATCGTACACCAGAATTAACTCAAAGTAGATCCTAGGCCTAAACTTAAGAGCTAAACTCTACAGCTCCTTTTTTTTCTTTAATTAATTTATCTGAGAGACAGCATGCATGCAGGGAGGGCAGAGGGCAAGAAGCAGACTCTGCTAAACTCTGTGCCTCATAGAAGAAAATAAAGGAGCAAATCTTTGTAAACTTGGGTCAGGCAAAGTCTTACTTGACACAACACGAAAGTAATTTTTGGTTTGGAAACTAACCTTTGTGGAAAAAACAGCTAGAGGGACTGGATTCAGGAATCCGCTTATTTTTAGGTTCAATAAAAGAAAGACAGCATGAAACAGGCTAGTAATAACTTTTGATATGTGTTAACTTAAAATGAGCATTGTCAAATTTCTTTCCGTAATCCTGTGCTTATTAGGGATTTGTCAAGGTCCTTCTCACAGTTTCAAGGAAAATAGGCGGTTTTGTTTTGCTTTCTTGCATGTCGTGTATAGGCACTTACGGGCATTTTTTTCCTGCATATGCCTGTGTCCAGAGAGTCACAGCTTCTCTGATGTCCTGGTGCCCAGGTTGTTGACTGGGAACTCTCAGGCCCTCCCGTGGTCCCTGCAGACAGCACAGAGCAACTTGGATGCTTGAGATGGTCAGGGTCTTCATAATCTGTCTTTTACCACTCAGCTGTATTTCAGAGATAATATTCAGATATTTTCAGAGATCGGTTAAGCTTAGATTTTAATAAACATTTACTGAGCTACCACCCCCTTGCCCCCATGTACCAGACGCAGGATGAATGAATTGCCTTGGTCCCCATGGAAGTCAGGGTCTATGTGTCACCAAGTCACCGAGGGCCACTGCGCTGGGCGGGGCTCAGCTTTCCCTGGGCTTCCAATCATTCTCTGGAGGCCACAGTGTAGAGGGGAGGGCAGACCAGCTTCCTTCCTTGTTCTCTTCCTCGCCCAGTGCCCTCTCCTGGCCAGTCTCTCGGGAAGGACTTTCTGCAGAACCAGATCCTTGGTAGTTGACTACAAGACGGGTTGTGCATGCAGAGAAGGGCCCCCGGCAGGCCAGGTGGTGCTCTGCTCGCTCTCGAGTTCGAGAGCTTGGCTTTGGAGTACAAGCGCGTCTGTAACTGAACACCGTCGACAGTTTCAAGTACACCTCTAACTGCGTGATTCTCAGAAATCGTCTTAGGGAAATCAAAAGCGGTGGTGGGGGTGTAGTTAGACAAATATTAATGTAGTTTTGCATTCATTAATTTTTAACATGAAAACATTCCCAAAATGTATCTTTCTCGGTTCTTATTTTTTTCTGTGGAACCAAGGCTTGGAGAGCATCTCCGCATGTGGGACGCCCCGCCGCTGCCGGGCGCCCTCAGCTCCCAGCGGTGGGGCAGGGGCTCACTCCCACCTGGTGAGAGGGAGGGGGCATTTCTCACCCGCAGGCTGGGTCCTGAGACCAGTTGCCGCCTGGTGGTCTTGGTGCCGATGGAGAGGACTGGAGAGGACGGGGCATTTCCCGGGAGCACGGGATGGTGCCTGCGTGGCACGTGAGTGCTCCTCGGGGCTCCTTTTGATGACCTCTGCACTCCTACCCCTGTGAAATCGCACCCCTCTGCCGGCTCCATGTCTCCTTCGTAAATGTTGCGTTTCTGGAGGCAGTGAGGAGCTGCTGAGAAGGGAAGTGACCTCAGATGCCCCTCACCTGGGAGGCCTCCCTCTGAGGCACACAGTGAACTCTCAGACCCTGTGGGCGGAGCCTGGTGTCACGCTGAGGTCGGGGCGCAGGAAAGGGAACTAGTGGCCCGTCTGCTCTCTGCTGCTGAAGCCACAAGCCCCTCGAACCCCGCTGAGCTCCCACCGCCGACACTCACCTGTCTCCCCCTTTCCTCCCTTCACATCCGCGTGCTTCCTTGAATTCAAACAGCAGAAACGGACTTTGGCTCATTTGAGCAAACACAGCAACAAAGAGCCTTGCCGGGCCGCACGGTGCTTTCACGGTGCTTTCTCCTCAAGCTGGAGGCAAAGCTGATGGTCCTCATTTCAGTGGGACCAGAGCTACGAGGGAGCGACAGGGTGAGGACGGGTGCACCCCATCCTTGGACAGACGGCTGAGGGGCGGCCCCTGCTGTTGGCTGAGCTCGCTCCTTTCAGGAGTCGGGTTCTCCGGATCTCCAGGGCACAGTCCACACTTGGGGACCGCGAGCTAGTTTCCTAGACTGTGTGGTCTCCCTGGGAGAAGTCCCAGCGCTCTTAGAGGAGGGCGAGTGGATGTGGGGGAACCATGGGGATAACACCCCTGTGCCTCTCCCCATCGGTCAGTCATCCAGCACCTGCCCTGTGCCGGGCGGGCTGGCACACAGCAGCGGCTATGCAGTCCGCAGCGGGCAGGCCCATCTCCCCTCTCAGGGTCCGCCAGCACTGACCCGTGGCTTCGCAGATGTGTTCACTCATCTTCGCATGGTTCTTTGCCTGGGTCCTTCTCTGTCTGGGTGACCTTTGGGCATAGCCTGCACGGAAGCCTTTCGTCACCCTGCCCGCCCCAGCTCCTGTGCACCTCTCCAGACCTTCTGTCCTGGACCGTTGACCATTGGTGTTCTCACTGGCCTTGTCTGTTCCGCTCTTCTCTTCAGGCTCCTTATGGAGTCCTCCCTCTGTCCCTGGCACCTTGCTCAGTTTCTGGTTGGTGCCCCGTCAGTGTTAAGTGGGTGAATGTTGGGGGGGTGCCCATCAGGAAGGCCATGGTGATGGCAGGAGTGATGGCCCTGCCCTTACTTGGGGACACACCCCCCCATCCAAAGTTCCAGGAGGTGTCTGAGCACTTTCCTTGTACTCGTTGGGACTGAACTAGAAAAGAAAAGTAAAACGGATCACGGGGTAGAGCTTGAATAGGCCCTTGGTTACTTTGTGCAAGCGCGGGAACTACAGAGAGTGCTCCCAGAGTCCAGAGACCAGGTCTGAGTGTGTACCGCGCCCCCAGCTGCCTCTGAGATCTCTGGATGTCCCCGCGCTTCCCGGGCCTAGCATCCCCTTCCTTCAGATGTGGAGTTGACCCGTGCCAGAGGCACCTCACCACACTCGGTTTTTCTAAGTTCATGGAGATGAGATCACTGGCCTTTGGGCCTTCCGTGAATCCGGGTGTGACTCATGGCCGCGTTGTGGCTGCTCTCGGTGGGCCCCTCGTAGGTGGCTCTCCTGGCTTCACTCAGGCACTTCCTTCTGTTCAGGTCTGGTCACACAGGGGTTGCGTCCCTCTGCATTTCCATCGTCCTTCCTGGAGCCCCAGCAGGGACTTGTGAAAAGCACCCAAACTGCTTCCATGGTCCGAGCTGTCCGTTTGCAGAAGCTGGGGCTGGGGTTCCGGCAGGCCTGTCCTGTCCAGAACCGCCCCTGCAGCTGGGCCGCCTCCCTCAGTCCCGAAACTCGCTGCACCCTCTCTGAGCTGTTTGGGCTCTTCCCGGAGAACACGGTCTAGCAGAGGACTGAGGAAGAGAAAGGACTCTGAAGCCCGCTCTCCTGCTTCTTCCCACAGGTCACCAAGGAAAACAGAAACCATCTTTTACCGGATATTGTGACGTGTGTGCAGAGCGGCAGGAAGTGAAGACGGTTCGCACCCCTGCGCTGTGCACTTGAAGGAATGTGCTGGTTCACACAGAGCCTGGTGGGTGCTCCGCCTGTCAGAGATTTACACCTTTGGGCTTACCAAACCTTGTGGGCTTTTCCAGAGAAAGCCCGACAGCTGTTTTCCATAAAATGTTTAAAAGCTCACATTAGCCTGAGTGCTGGATTGGCCCAACGAGGTGAGCCATCCACTGTGGCTTGTTTTTGCTGAAAGATTTCTGTTTATTTCCTCTTGCAGTTGTGCATACGATTTTGGCAAATTATGAAATGAGAAATGGTTTTCAGAGTATTAGATGGAACTTGCTCCCATTGAAGTTTGTAAGTGTGTTCCGGGGAAGGGGGAGAAGGGCGCTCGCTACCTAATCAGTTTTGCCCGTTGTGAAAATTAACCCCCTCTCCAGGGGCAGCTTCGGCTCCCAGGCGTAGGAGTTAGTTGGTTTTTTTAAAATAGTTACTTCAGAGAAAAGCCATTTGGGGTCCTCCCCACACATCTCATTGTTCATGTGATTGCTTACTGCTTAATAAAAAGAAACAGAAACATAGTGGTTGCAAACACGGGAGTCTGGTGTGGGAGGGGCACGGCGTCCTCGGAGATGCTGAGAGCTGCAGTGCCCCGTGGGCTCGGGCCTGTGGGTTCCGGTCAGAGCCCCCACTCTGGACACATCACCTTAGACGTGGCCTTAAACTCTTCTGTGCCCCGTTTCCCTTCAGAAAAAGGGGGAGATGAGTGTCGTCAAAGGAAGGCAGGGCCACCGCACGGGAGGACCCGTCATCAGCCGCCTGTGGGATCCCCTGGAGAGGGCCCGGTGCCTCTACACCGAGAGTCCTGGTGGGGAAAGCTCAGGCTGAGCCCACAGCAGGGCAGCTGCAGGAACGCCAGAGTCCCCGAGGGGTAAGACTTGCCTTCCTGGTGGCTGGTGGTCACTGCAGTGATAAACTGCACATTGCTTTTGGGTCATTTTGGGTGAAGATCTATGAATTTCCAGGATATTTTAGCAACTAGCCTTAGCTCCAGATCCAGCTGGCGTTCATGCCAGGTGTGTCTCCATCTGTCACCGAGGCCCCATCTGGCCATGTGGAGCCTAGACTTGTGTGTCCTGTGAGCCGCGCGCGCTGGGCGCACTGTGCCGGGAGCACTTCTGTTTCTGACCCAAGATGGCGGTCGGGAGCCGGTGATGGGCTCTCTGGTCAGGATCCCTTCCTCAGCTCTTTCCCCTAAGGGAGCCTCCTGAAGCTTGGTGTGGATTTGCTAAGCCTTTGAGGGCTCACATGTGAAGGGCCTCCCAGACTGTGAACTAATCTCATATGAAGCGTGCCTTGTCCAGTGTGGGGAAGGGGGCACCTCTGTCCCACTGTCCCCGCCCGGTTGGGTTGTTCAGGGAGTCCGAGCTTGTGCTGACAGGAGGATGTGACTTCTGCCAGGCCCTCGGGGACCGAAGGAGCACTGCACGCAGGTGTGGTCTGGCAGCCCAGCCTCTGGATCAGACCTACTCTCATCAGCCCAGATGGTACTGAGGAGCCCTCCTTGGCCTCAGGTGACCTGAGAAAGGGGACAGGCTGGGGAAGCGTCACCTGTGTGCCCCCTGAAGACAGAGCCAGCAGGGAGCCCATCAGATGGAGGCTTTCTTGGCCTCCAGGGGTGCGGGCTCGTCAGAACTCTCCTTGCGGAACAGACTCGGGGCGGCCCCCAGCATGCGTGCGGGACAGGGAGCTTCTGCACCCTCTCTTTAATGGTAAAGAAATGTGCTTTTCGTGACAGAGAGTTTGAACCAAGTCCCTGTGGCTCCAAAGCCCATGCTCTTTTTTTTTTTTTTTTAAAGATTTTATCTATTTGACAAAGATCACAAGTAGGCAGAGAGGCAGCAGAGAGAGAGAGGAGGAAGCAGGCTCCCTGCCAAGCAGAGAGCCTAATGTGGAACTCGATCCCAGGACCCCGAGATCATGACCTGAGCGGAAGGCAGAAGCTTAACCCACTGAGCCACCCAGGCGCTCGCCCATGTTCTTTTTGTTCTTCCCACTGTGTTGGTGCTTTCTGTCCTTTTCCGTGCATCCCGTGCCCCCGATCTCGGCGTTGAGGTGTAGCTGCGATCAACCGTAGCGGTCGTCAGCTGGAAGATCTCGGGGTGCTCGCTGCGGCAGAGTTCTTGAATGATCACTGTATGCCTCTGGCAGATGGAATGCTCAGGGGCGTGTGTGAAAGTACCCAGGGCTCTCCCTGTCTTCTAAGAAATGAAGCCTAAGAGAGGATACTGTTATGGTCTGAGATTTGTGTCCCCCACAAATTCGTGTTGGGCTCTGACACCCAGTGTGATGGTGTTAGGTGGGGCTTTGGAAGGGGCTGCGGTCATGAGGGAGCTCTCAGGAAGGGAATTAATGCCCTGATGAAAGACCCCGGACGACTCTTTCCCTTCAGCCCCTGGAGGTCATGGTGAGAAGTGGCCATCTGTGAACCTGGAAGCACACCCTCACCAGACGAATCTGCTGGCGTGTTCACCTTGGACTTGCCGGCCTCCAGCACCGTGAGCAGTAAGTGCTGTTTAAGCCCCGTCTGTGGGACGGAAGAGGATGGAGTCAGATATGTCCGACTCGGCCCGCACCCGCGCAGCCGGTAGTAAAGGCTAAAGGGGGAAGAGGCGCCGAGGCAGGGCACCATCCGAGGCTGCTTCCCCCGCTGGCTCGGGCCCAGCGGAGGGGCTGACGCAGACCCAGCCCTCTGGGTGCCGCTCCCTGACAGCAGGTGCACTCGGTCAGAGACGGGTGCGGGGCCGGGACAGGCCGACATCAGGAGTTCACATGTATTCCTGAGCTTGAAATGCCTGCCCTCCAGCCAGGCCCAGACACCAAGCAGACACTTGGTCTGAGGCGGGACTCGAAGGAAGAATTTGTTTTGGAACGCATGAGATGGATGTATGTGCTGCAGTGTGACGGACTGACGCTGGAGTAACATGGCTGGACGGGCCAGAGCAGAACCGATCTGGGAACGAGTTTACGAAATCCTCCTTCTCTCTTCCCCCGGAGCAGACTGTTGCACCAGCTACTTACCACGTACATTTAAAAAATGATTTCTTTTTACCTCTGAATAAGCACGCAGGCAGGGAGGACAAGTTTTCAAAGGCACAGACTGTCCCCTGATGGTCAGGCCTGATGCACCTGGCTCACTCCACTCCCAGCCTTCCAGTCAAGTGCAGGGTGATGGCGGCCCAGGAAACGTAGAACCGGCCAGACTCCTGTCTGTCTTTCTGGGAGTTCATGAGGAGGTGTCTGGGAAGGTCGCCCATGCGCGCACACATGCGTGTGCAGGCGTGCTGGTGGCAGGTGCCATGTCCCTGGAGCATAATGATTTGGACAAAACCTCGAGGCAGCGGAGGGGGCTGACGGGGCTCAGGAGACAGGGGTCCGCGCATCGCCCACTTGACGGCCAAGGAGAAGCGGGAGCATCGCGTGATTTTAGAACAGCCCTTGCCAGACAGATGGTCTCAACGCACAGTGCAAAATTTAGAATCAATGATGCCAGATTAGCCCCATGATTTATATAAAACCAAGCACTACGGGTTTTAGATCATTTTTAGAGGAGAAACAATTTCGTTCGGTGTCCAAATGCAAAAAATAACCCCATGGTTGTATGCCGACTGCACGTTGCAGGAGCCCCAGCCCGAGATGCCACCTTAGCAGCATTTCCTTTAAGTGCGGGCGAGTCCAGCCTTTTGCAAGGAATACCCTGGATAAACACCGGACTGGCTGAAGATCAGGTTAACGAGCGTGTGCGTGCGTGCGTGCGTGCGTGCGTGCGCGGGGGGGCGCCTGCGTGGCTCAGTCGGTTAAATGTCCGACTCTTGGCTTCAAAATGGGGAAATGGGGTCATGACCTTGTGGTCGTGGGAGGGAGCCCCGAGTTGGACTCCGCGCTCAGCGTGAGTCTGCTTCCCCACCACGTGCGCATGCACCCCCTTGTCCCAGTTTTCCAGCTGTCAGGAGATCCACATTCTGCGGCACAAGGTAGCTTTCTGGGGTTCTTACTGCCGGATGCCCACCGGGGTGGTCGGCCCACAAGAGGCCGTCTTAATTCAAGGAGATGCCCTTTGTGGGGAGGCCGTGCCCGCAGCTCAGGACCAGCCATTTAGTCCTTCGGGCTTGGCTGTGATTGCCCAAGAGGATTTCAGGGACCGCCCGCCAAGTGTGGTCCGGCTGACTGCGAGAAGTGCAGTGAGGTGCCAGCAGCCTCATTGGAGACGCCTGCATTTCAGTCAGTAACCAACTTTGCATCCCTGGGGCTGGCTGGTTTGAGAATAATGCACAGTGTCTCTGATTACACAGACACCTGTTACTATTAGTTGGCAATTCTTATTTTGGGGAAAAAAAATTACCATCTGCTTCCAGGGGGTAAGAAATTCTCTGCCATGCCCTCCCCTAGTCCCCCCACTTCAAATCATAGATACCTTGAAGAAATAGCTCCAAAATGACTATTTCTATGATCCTATTTCTATGGTTTCTATGAACCATCCCCAGAAGGGCTGGTTCACCAGGTCAGTGATTCTGTTCTTCACAGATTGTGTTTCAGGACCCCTTCACCCTCCCGTACATCCACAAGGAGTCGGGTTTCTGCTTTCCCCAGGTTCCACTTGGGGAAGGTCCCAGAATTTGCCCGAACACCGTTCTCCCAGTAGGGATGCAGCAGAGCTCACACAACCGGACACAGCAGTAACTGTAAACATTTTAATTCCAAAAACACAGGTGTGTGTGTTCTGTGACATGGGAAGGATGGCTTGGCTTGGAAAACAAGCGAACATTCCTGCGAGTGGACAGGTGCGCCGGGCAGCACAGGCCCGGCTCGTGGGAAACCGCGTGAGTGCGGTCAAGCGTCCTGTGAGTCTGGACGGCTTTCCGTGCTCCCGCAGGCCTCGATGTCTGCTCTCGGGTCACTAGTATCGCTGGGTCTTGCGCGGGATACTGTAGACAGGACTGCATGCACTACCACGCTTCAGTAAAGCTGGTTTGTACTTAACATCTGCGTAAACGTGGTGGAAAAGGTGATGTTTTCTCTATGCAGAGATGGAGCCCTACCGCGTCTGACCGGCACCTGGCAGGACGCGTGCTGCTGTTTCTAGAACGTGGTTAATGGGAATGTATGAAGCGCCCATCAGTTCGCATGCAGTTGTCGTATGTTCTGCAGGGCAGGAAAGGGACAGGCGCTCTACTTAGCCTAGCTGTTTTCGGAGATTACATGGCTGTCGTTAGAATGTTCAAAGTCTGGGAGTTGTGCATGCCCCGCCCGAGAGCTCGGGGCAGCTTGGAGCGCGTCAGGGTGGGGGGAGGGAGCTGTGCTGTCAAGTGTTGTATCGTCGTGGGAGATTTCCTGTGCGAACCTGAGGTACAGTCGCTCTGCTCTCTAGAGCGGCGCTCATGGCTGCAGAGCCGGGCCTCCGGCCAGCACCGTCCCTACTGCTCGTCGGAAGCGCTCTGCTGGGAGGCTGTGTCATCCAGGCCCATGTCCTCCTGGCTGGCTCTCCTGCACAGCAGCTCCCCGTTCTCTGCCATGGCCCCAG